ATTGGGTTCAAAGTCGGATGACGCAATCTGGGTCAAGTCCGCGACATAGAATCAACGGTCGAAACTACAAGACTCCGTCGTCAGCCATAGCTCGGCATCTTCTGATGACGCAACACCAGATTGACCGAAGCATGGCGTTCCGAATTATCTACAAGTCACGAACCGCAAGATTGCTACGGTTTGCAGAAGCGATTGTTATCAGTCGATGGAAGCCCCCCTTGTGTCAACAAAAGAACTTTATGTTAGTTTATCCTTACCCTGGTGATAGTCTTTTTTACCCCTCCCCCTTTTATGTTTTTCTTTCTGTTTCATTGTATTTTACTCATCTTTGTTGCCATGCGAAATCCCTATTTAAGTATTGTATTTTCTGCAGTATGCACCATGATGAGATGCAGCGAAATCGTCCTGGACATAAATCGTGCAGTATTGCAATTTGGTCTTATCTGCATTTGTCATTCTAGTTGATCCAAGGCCACCAATCATTGAATAAAACACAATAACCACTACTTCGTAAATTTTAGGGTAGCAAGCTTGGAATAACCCATTCGATTGTAAAGAGGCACCATGCAGTGTGGGCACAAAAAATACGCGCACAGCTGACGAATCCCAAACAGGACAAAACAGCTATCCAGGTCTCTTTGTCGGTTATCACAATAATTTCCGTCGCACGTAAATTACTTCGAAAACTTTTCGTGTTGTTCGAGTTCTTTTCTCTGCAGAGGCCGACTTATGTTTCCACACTAGAATTGCTCACCCGGACAGAATCAGTAAGCAAAAGCCATCGCTCACTTCGTGTTCAGTAACCGTGAGGCGAAATGAGGCTGATAAACGGTAACAAAATTTTCTCATTCCTACCACGCGAGGTTAGAAACGTGTTTTGACGCACGTTCGCTAGCGGTAAAATTCACTTAGTTCCGGTCGATCATGTATTTGATCAACAAGGTTTTCAGTTTGAACGCTTTCATATGAGAGAAGTATGATTAGAGCTCTTCGGTTCCCCGGATTCACTGCCTAACTCCTTGACAATGATGACGAGAGGCGTACCACTCGCGAGTGTCTAAACGAAACCGTAGGAAGTGAGCCAGCAACGTGAATCTTGCATCTTTCTGATGTGTGTATATACTCGAACTTTCACGTGATTTGCCTTTCGATTCAATCGATACAATTTTGCTCATCAGCCAGCCGTCTCCCTTTTACCGTTAGAACCCCATTACCCAAATCGAAGTGGCAATACTTTGAAAACTGGGAATATCACGTATAAACACTTTAAAATATGTTTTGTCTTCAATGAGTAAACTCACTTTGGCAATACTTCATCCGTTTAACTTCAAAATAACCACAATAGGGTGCGTGAATTGGGACGCCATTCAGTTCCCATTCCACTGTCCCCGACGGATAGGCACGAATGGTACAGCTGATGATGGTGTTTCCACCCAGATGTTGTTGGATTTCACTGTTGCTCATTCGGATTTCGGGTGGATCTGCGTGCATAAATAAAACAGGAAATTAAAAATAATATATGTACAGCTGTATAAGGTTAAATGGGTCATGTTTATTTTTAAGTGGGCACAAGAGTTATACAAGTATGGAACTGAGACGAGAATTGGAACAGTTTTGAAATAGTCAGTTGATAAGAAGATTCCCCAACCTCAAGTCATCAGAGTGCTTCAAAAGATGTCCTCTCGCATATGGTACCTGAATACTTGAATCATTCAATTACGCCATTTTCATCAGGTGACTTTAGTTGTATTTCGTTCGAAGGCCTTTCATAAATGTCAATGTTATTGAAATCCGTAAAGAGAGGAATAAATTTTGCACTAATCTTCTTACTCATTAGTAGTATGAACGCATATGCGAAATTTGAACCGCATATAATGACTATTTGAACACGTGCGAGATACTCCCGATCTTGATCAGGCAAAACGTTCTAGGGTGAACGTTTGTATGGCAAAAGAGGGAACAAATTGAATGAACCTCGGGGTTATGTGGACTTCCTGTGGTGTGGTCGTAAATGAGCATCACACAAAATGCTTCCATGGAGATCAGTGTTTGGAGCGAGCTTGCAAAAAAGTGAATTCAGAACTCAAATCCACCATTTTTGTAGGATTGCGCTTGAAATCACTTAGATATGAAGAGTATTCAAAAGTGCATAAAGTTTGAAATATCACAAATATGACAAATACATATTGGAGATAATTCTTTTATTTCAAAAGGAAAGACCATATCGGAATACCGCACATCGCATGTCCAGGAAGATTTTACTGCATCTCAACATGGTGCGCATACTGCAGAAAACGCAGTGTTACCATCTGGCGGGGCCTTTGAAATGGGCCGCGTGGTTCGTTACCTCGTCGGACTCGGAACTACATAATCACTCTTCACCGGATTTTATCTGGGATACACGTCCTTGTTGTCATAGAAACGTTGTGCAATTATGGTCATCCTAAATTCTGTGGAATACTCTGCCGTTTTCATGAAGCAGCTTCGAATTGCGGGCC